CCTGTGCTCTGGCATGGTCTTGTTGAAAACCCTTCTTTCCATTGCGATAGCCCTTTCTGTAAGGTTCAGTTTTGGGCTGCATCTAAGCAGACCTGTGTGAAAAGGTTACTTCACCAAAGTTTGTTGTCAGTTAAGTTCACAGTTACAGGGGTGGGGGAAGCTCCCTGTGTTTAGGAGGCAGTAGTTCCTGTGGATAAAATTATAAACCAAATCTCTGTGTGTGTGTGTATCTGTAAATAAGGTTATTTCCACAAGGAATTCTGTCTTTAATTTTTTTTTCAACTTTAAAATGTGTTCTAAACTTGTATAGTAAGATTCTAGTCTAGCCTTAGATATATATAATTTTTTAAATGATTCAGCATTTTTGTGACTTTGCTTTCCAGAACACTTGCGTACAGTGAAAGCTGTTTTAGTTTGTTGTTCAGGAAGTGTGTTGTAAATGGGTCATTAACTTTGGCAAGGTGTGGTTTGTTTTTGGTTTTTTTTTTTTCGGTTGGTTGGGATTTTTTTTTCACACAGGGATTTAGCAGTATGCTGTTCCATCAGGGTTGTGTATAGTTCTCGTCTGGATCAGGAAGTAAAAGTAGAAGAAGAATGCCTTAAACTAACTGAATGCATTCAGAGAAGACAAAACTAGAGAAGGTAGGATGCACGGCTGGTCTGAAATTTGTGAGAAGGAAATGAAAGCTTAGACAAAAATGGAGCGCTAATCATACCTGTGTTTATGACTGGCTTTGGTGCATTCAGCATGCATACTGGAGACAAGTGAGGTGATTTCGAGAGCCTGTAAACCAGTGTACCTCAGTTATTTGGGTGAAGCGGCTGCAGCGTGAGGACAAAGCAGATAGCAGCTGGAATGTTGTAGGGGGAAGCACACTGTATCTGGTACACTGATAGCTTGGAATAAAATCTCGTGATGGGAGGAAGCTGACTTCTATTTTTGATTACGGAATTTGAGTTCAACAGCTGGATTATATATTTGTATGTTCTGGTGTATTTTATAGGCAAGTAAATTAAAGTGTATTAGAAAAAATATATTTGAGATTTTGGACAAGGCTCTTGGGTGTGCAGTTTATTAAAAAGAACTCTGTAATGCTAAGGACTAATTCCTTGGTAAGAGTGTTCTCAGGAAACGTGAAGGTTAATGAAATTTTCACGAGGCTAAAGATTTCTTCTTACACCTTGTGTACAGACCTAAAAAAATGTTAAGTAACAAACACACAGTATAGAAGTGACAAGAAAATTTGCTCATTTACAGTTCATTTCTATTACCAAACTTTTTCATTTGGGAAGAAGGTCCAGCTATTTTAATAGCAGTAGTCATCAGCTTAATCTGAAAATCTGTTCTCTGGGAAAAGAGAACAGAATAATCAAACCTCTTTATTCTTGTGTTTATAAACACCAGGTTTTAAACAGCTACCAAAATCTTCTGACTTATTAATTAATACATCCCACTGCTGTGAGATCAAATCTGCATTAGCCTGATGATACCACTCCTGAAAGTTGCAACACATAGTTCTGATACCCTAAGTCATAACTAGATGCTGACTCCTATTGCTGAATCCTGTACAAGCTTTTAAATTGATGTTTCTCCAGAGCAGTCACAGCAGGAAGAAATACTGGCTATCTTATTTAACATAACTTTCAATTCCTGAAAGTAGTGTGATTTTCTTAGGTTTATTCTGGAATTCTAGAGAAAGAATGAGGACATCTGAAGTTAGCTTGTATTTTAAAAAGGTCTATTTGTGAATGTGTTGGTCCAGCTGCCTTACCCAGAGCAGCTTAAATTTTCTGGCATGTGCACAATCCATTTAGTGGTAGAGTTCTCTTAAAAAAAAAAAAAAAAAAAAAAAAAAAAAAAAGTTAAATATTTACAGGCCTGTGATCATTCAGTCTGATTTTTATGGAGCTGCTTAATATTAGCA